GGGGGGGGGGGGGGCCAGCGGAAGGGCCCTTAGGGAGCGTGCAGGCAGCAGGGAGAGCTGTCAGCTGGAGCCCTGCCCGGGGAGGGGGCACCGTGTCCTTACCCTGTGCCTCTTGCCCTGGCTCTTGGCCCGGGCCAGCTCGGAGGAGCTGCGGCGTGAGCCCCGGCGGCGTGCCCGCGCGTAGCTGGCCTCCTGCAGCTCCTTCATCTTCTTCCTCTGCAGCCGGAACTGGTGGCTGCAGCTCACGTTGTACCTCGGGGGGCAGAAGCAGAGCAGCAGTCAGGGCACGGCCTCTACCCGAGCTCACTGCTGAGCCTCTCCTTGCTCTAGGGGCTGAGGAAACTCCTCGGTACCAGGAGGTTCTCCTTCTCCTCCTCGGGAGGAGCCAATCCAGCCTTCTGACACAAGCAATATTTGGACGCTGGAATCCTGATCTAACATCTGAGGGGTCAATTAAGTCGTTCCCCTGAGGGAAAAGAGGCTCATAACAAGCACTCTGCTCTCACTAGCAGGCAGCAATGACTTGTCTGACTTCTCCCTGGTTTCCTTCCCCAATCATCCCTTGTGTCCTTGCCCAGCACCACTGCAGCAAACAGCTGCCACTGTGCATTCACTTAGTCAGATGTACATTCGACTGGAGAGAGGTTTTTTTTTGAGCCCCAGAACCTCCCCCCTTCCCACTTCACTTTCTGAGCAAGTTGGAAATCTGGTTTACACTCCACACCACATTCCCTTCTCCAGACCTAGAAGCATTCACAAACTGTTCAGAGTCCTGAAGAACCTCTGTGGCCAGTGCACCCCGTGGAGGGATGTCCTGAGGTGTTGTACACCACCTGGGCACAGGCCCAGCCACTTCCAGAGCATCTACAGTCAGAGAAAAGGAAGATTAGGTCTTGCTGTTACCTTTTAGCACAGGTCATGGAACAGAACCTCTTGGAGCCACGGAACTGGGTTGCTGGGGCATACTTCCCACAGTACTCACACTTCAGCAAGTTTGCCTTCTTATCAAGCTCTAGTGAGACAGAGAGACACAGCAGCTGATGAGCTGAGCTGGAGCAGATCACACACAATGATTCCCCCATTCCACCACTCCCCTGAGCAAACAGATTCCACACACTGCTCTCTACTGAACCCACCAAGCAGTTAGCTTGTGGAAGAAGCAGGGGAAAGAGGCAAAAGCTCCACTCATCAGGGCTCCTGGATATTTATCAGAGCAGCTTATTTCTCCTTGTCAGTCCCAATTCAATGAACCAGCAAAAAATAGCACAACCCTCCTGTCCTACCAGGCTGCAGGGGAAATCCCCATCACTGCATTCTCTGCTGTGTCCACACATCCTTCACAGCCTTCAGTGACAACATACAGGTAGAGTTCAGGTTCTCCTGCTGACTACTGACACAGGGGGTGTTACAGCATATTAACAACCACCTATTGTCTTCTTGCACTCCAGGAAAGGAGATCCTAGCTCCATAGCTTGAGTCTCTAAGGAGCTAGCAGGAAGAGATGAGTCCCTAAGGTATAAATCTAGTATTCCAATATCAGAGACACTTTTGGTAACACTCGCCAGGCCTCGTGGTACCAAAACTCACCCCCAGAAGCACTGTCCCCTCCTGGGGAATTGCTGGACAGGTTTTCACTCTGCCCAGAAGCAGCCTCTCCTTGCATTGGTTTCTCAGACTCTTTCAGCAGCTGAGAACAACCCACCTGGACAGGAGGAGAAAGAGTTTAGAGCCCCAGTCAAGGATTCTCTGCGTCCACCACCCTCTGCACCACTCACACCTTGCTGCAGCTCAGAAGAATCCCTCTGCCTACTAGCAAAGCAGAAATGCTGCCTGAAGTTCTTACTCCTTCCTGGCTCACAGGCTTGATGGGTCATTCACAGACCACCAAGAGCTGTCTGCCTTCAACATCCTGCAGCTCCCTGGAACTGCACTTCCCAGGCTTTAACTTCACTTGCTGCTTGTTCAAGACACAGTGCAACCTTCCTTCACCAAAACCCAGAGAGAGGAACCTTCTCTCTACAACATAAATGACTGCTTTGGGGACCACTGCAGAAAAGAGTTCCCACCACCCTGGTTTCACTCCTCCCAACTCATTCTCTTCAATGCCACCACTTAACTCCTTGCTTCACACCTCACACCTCCCTCCTTTCCCTTCCTCTTCCCTGTCCACATCTCAGGCTAAAAACGCTGAGCTGGAATATGCCAAAGGAACTCCTGGCCAAAGAGGGAAGCCCAGCACCCTCCCAG